ATGGCCAATCGTTCCTTTCTACTTTGCCAAAGGTGGCTCAAAAATGTCTTCCCTAGTCTGTCTATCCTAACGATATCCCTTCCCGCCTTTTCAACCCACCTCCTATGCCCCACTACAGCTACCGTCTTTTCCTCTCTATTCCATGCCTCAAACATCTCCCTGTACGTTCCATCTATTTTTCCCAGCTCAGTCACGTACACTTCCCTATCCTTCCCAGCTCAGCGCGTCGCTTTCATCCTAGACCAGGATTTTATTTAGTGAGAAAAAACTCACGCTGCCGGGACTCGAACCCATGACCTGGCCCTTAGCAGGCTGCGAGGGTACCCACTAGACCACCGGGGCGACCGGGTGCATCTGACCTGCCGTCCAAATGACCAACCCACTACCGATCCATGATACCGACAAACTACATAGGACGTCGACACACCCCACATACACCCGACCCACGCCATACCCATCCAAATATGACACGCTGGCTGCACCGATCAACATAGAAGCACGTCAGCACAACACCGAAGGAGTAAAAATGTTCTCCCGTGCCCCTCCACGCCGTCCAACAGTAATGATACCACACCCACACCTCAAACCTGGAACAGTTCCATAAGGGTGCCACCGACAAAACTCGACAAACCAACTACCCAACTCATTCCTTCCGTGCATTCCCAGCATAACATGCAGATAGATGCACAAAACGGCTACCACACTGTCTTGTTGACCCTGTTACCCACGAGGGACATGTCGCTGTATGCTGCTCGGGAAATCATGGAAACACAGGAAACCTTCACTGACGCTATGGATTCATTGCCAGTGTGTCTTGGACTCTTTTCTTAGATAGAGATGGATTCGTTGTGTTATATTTGAAGCAAAAATAAATAAATAGTCTAATGTGTTCAAGGGACATGGCAGGGGGACATTTTGATTCCTGCATTACACTAACATGAAGTCTGATGTCTGACGACGACATCTCGTGATTGGGTACCGTGTAGTCTAGTGAGAACATGATGTCTATGGTGCAGCCCGTTTTTTTTTTTTTGTATTTTGCGACCTCTTCAAAGCACCCGCAGAGCAGCAGTTGCTGTTGCCCATCGATCCACTACCACTGCTGCTGCTCTGCTGTATGTACGTTCTGTTTTGCGCGTCGCAACATGAAAGTCAAAATCGATCCCGCACATGGCGGCCGTGTGTGTGTGTTTTTATTACGACCGCCCTAACCGGCTGAAATGAAAATAAATATGTCAGTCTCGTGTGTGTCTTTATTACTATTATTATATATAGCATCGACCGCAACCGACTGACCAATGAAAAGTCGTCAGTCTTACTGCGGTTGAGCCTGTTACCCACAGGGGAGTTATCGCTGTACGCTGTCTGGGAAACCGTAGACATACAGGTAGGCTTTCGCTCACGCTATGGATTCATTGCTCATCTATCTTAGACTTATTTCTAGACTATAGATAGAGATGGATTTGTTGTGTGATACTAATAATAAGAAGGAAAAAATAAAAACATTCGATCTGCCGTGAACTGGTACCCCGTGAGGGGGCAGCATGGGGGAGGCTAAACTATCCTTCGGATGAAAGACAGAAACGGTGGCAACAATTGTGGCAACAGAAGAAAACTGCACGCATCTACCAAGGCTACTTACTACCACCTTGTACAAGTTCGTTCAGGAGTACCTTTGACTGTGTGTGTCTGTTTTTGCACACCGAGGTGTTTTGTCTCTCCTCCCGAAGTTGCTTTTCGAAAAAAAAACGTCAGGCAAGTCTACATGACGAAATGAAATGGCTCGTTTGACGCCAGCATGGAACACAACTAGACCACCGGTCGCCCCGGTGATCTAATGGGTAGCCTCGCAGCCTGCTAAGGGCCAGGTCGTGGGTTCGAGTCCCGGCAAAGAGAGTTTTTTCCTCACTAAATAAATCCTGGTCTAGGATGAAAGCGACGCGCTGCAAAGCTTGTTAGTAAACCATGATCGACTTCGTAAGTCGCGAGGGAAGGGATTGCTGTACCCTTCTCGCGATGAAAATACCTCAGGCATGAACCGCAGGAGGGGGTCCAACCCCACCCTCCTATGTGACCCCGGTTGTGTCGTCTAGCTAGTAGAAGTGGAGGATAGGGGCCAGAGGGGCAGACGACAGAGTCCAATGATGGGAGAAAAACAAAAACAACAAAAAAAACACCTCCATCTCATGTTCCCCGCGTCTTGCTGGCAGTGGGTAGGGGTTAGTTCGTGGGAAAGGAAGGTGGGAATCGACTGACTACAACATACTACGACGCGCCATGAAACAGATCTCGCTTCTTCCGGAACTAACTGCGTGTGTCACGTAGATAGACGAGAATTAGACTAATTCCTGTGGCGCAACAACATCTATCTGTGTCCAACATACAGTTATACATGGTTTTCCTCTACTCACTGTAAAGACTTCAACACATCCCCTTCGAGTGTAGTTATACCTCGAACGGGTAGTCTTTCTGTGTGTATATTTGTTTCTCCTAATACAGAGTGACGTTCGTTCATCGATCGGTAAATTGTGTAACGCAAGTCTCTTGGGAGGCAGCACCGAACAATCTTGTTTCGGTTTTCTTCGCTCCTACGCCCACCTGGTAAGTCTCCCGTGAAGTTTTCGTTGTGGAAGCGTTGAAAGCCAGGGTCATAGCCAGCAGCAGCGCACATACTGTCCTTGTTCGTGACGCAGCCAAACAAGTTGAGGACGGCTCCAACTGGATCCGAGCACCCTCCCTGAGTGCCCATGTTGTCATGTGATGATGAATCTGACGAAGAGTCCTCTCCGTTCCTGCTTCCGCCTGTGCTTCTGCCTCTACCTTCTCTCAACACGGAGTTGTTCGGGAACGCGCCTTTTTTCGCAGCAGCAGCAGAGGCTATCAGGAGAGAAGCTGCAGTGAATATGGAGACTGTCATGGTGCGGGGTCTGTTGTATGTACGTACTGTAGCTCTGTGGATCAACTGGTGCTCGCGGTACACATGGCGGCCGGTGTGAGAGCAAGCGAGAATCTGTCAAAAAATGGAGAGTATGCCACAGCAGCATCCTGACCAGTCCAACGTGTATGTGCATGACAGGAGCTTGGCCTCTTCGTCTCGGCTGTCTCTTCGTCTCGGATGGTTTGCTATTTTGATTGGACTGCTCTGTGGAGGACACCTGTCGGGAGTATAACCAACCATGAGTGCACATACAAAGTGTAGGAAGATATAGCTCCATCGGGGTATCTTGTCACTGGGAGAGTGAGAAGAAAAGCACCGTCGGAGATTTGTCTCTTCCGAAGTCCATGGCCACTTGCCGAAAGGAGAAGCGGAGAGTCTTCGACTCTCCTCTCCCCTCTGCTCTCTCTGGCCACTCTCTCTCTTTCTACCCTCTTCTCCTCGTTTACATATCACGAGAGGAAATAGCCTTCCCCTGGCAGTGGGATAATACTGCCAAGGCACCGGCCTCTGTCTCCGACAGTAGCTAGGGTCCAAAGCTCTGTTGTTTTGTAAGAAAACACGCGCACACATACATACATACAATTCATCTGGAAAAATCAGCCGTTATCGGAAACGACTCACTGAATCTATCTACCATTTATCTGTGTCGATTCCCTGGGCACCATGACGATTCCCCGTGGGCATTTGGTATTTGCTCGAGGAAAAATTTAGGAGGAAAATGTTGGGAGAGTTTTGTTGGATCCTTGGATCTGTGCATGTAGTCTAATCTTGACACCATTTTCCAACCGATCTTTGGAGAGTGTAATGAGATTCGCCCCCTTCCTTTAGAATCAATCACACCTTTGTGCTGTGTGGAACTCTCTTGTCCGACCACAGATGCAGGTTGTTGTTACTTCCGTTGTTCTATTTCTTGATTAGCCTAGACTAGACTACCAAGCTCACAAAATCCCAGCACACACGATCACCGGATCGTCTGCAAGCACACTGAACAGCACATGCCTCGGCATAAAGCCCTGCAATCTAGCATGACGTCACGTTGTAGCATCCGACCGCGCGAAATAACCATCCATCCTGTGGTCAACCACGATCGCATGATGTACGTCTACCTCCAAATACCATAACAAGAGAGGCGACAAGGAACGCTCGCTAGCATTTTTACGTGAGGCAACTCACGTTCATTCTGTTGCGCAAATGCATACGGCCAATACATACAATTGCGCTCATACAGCCAGTGGTCTGCCAGTGTTGGTTGTGTTGTACTTCTAGACTACATAGCTATCTAGACCCTTGGTCTAAGATACTATGTTGTTGTTGTTGACTTCACATTAAACCGTATGCCAGTTGCTAAATGCCAAAATCTAGCAAAGACTCTCGGCCCGTGGTCACGAAAGTGCTGGAGCCATCTGAGGATCTAAAGAACACGCACACGTAGCAAGAAAAAGGTGTACAAGAGCCCGAAGAGGTACTACTACTACACCTAGTCTATAGACCAGCACCGTACGCGTGCCCAAAACTGAACTACACGTCCGTCTCACCGTTCGACTACAGCAACATCACCCCCTACTTGTCCCACTCTGTACCAAAACGAATGATTGCCGACTACAGCATACTTGCTGTCTGAAGTGCTGTCTGTACAAAAACACCATGGTAGGCATGGAACAAGAAGCTGGCGGGGCACAAAGCTGCTGTCTGAAGTGCTGTCAGAATGTGTCTGCGGACGTACAGTGAAAAAGAACAACCAACCAAAGCCATGATTGCAATGGACAATCACCCGAACCTCTCCCGATCGTCTGTGTTAGGCACGCAGTGAAAATATCGACAATAGCTAAGAATCGTTCCACATTGAAGGGGTCTTCCACGATCAGGCACATAACCAAGGCACCCGGGTTAGCCACGCCATCTCTGACGGGTCTCTCTACAAAACCAGTGACGACGTCATCACATAGAACCAACACCGAAAATCAGGAAAAAAACGAGAAAAATTGACAACACAGATCAGATATAAATGTTTGTCCGTGCGCCACGGGTCGATGTCGCCCGCATGCTCCGGTGCCGCTGCTCCGTCCGGCGCCGCTGTAGTCAGCCCGAGCATAACGCCACTCGACCTGCTCCGTCCGTACACGCTCTCGTTGCTGTCCTTCCCAGTCGGTTCCTCGCTTTCTCCCTCGTTGCACTCAAGGTTCTTGGTCTGAAAAATAAAAATTCTCGCGCCGAAGGGGTCAACCAGCCCAGTTCAGCTCGTCGCCACCTGCTCCCTCCTCCTTTGATGGCGAAGCCAGGTTACTGAGGCAATGCAGCGCCCTCTAGCCAACCTAGGGCCGTGTACATAGTTCCCGTCCACCTTCTGACGGTGTCTGCCTCCGCGCACAAAAAATGAGATGGGCATCGCTGCCTACGCCGACGGCCAGAGGCCCGCGCATCTACATTTTTTCGCCTGACCCCATCAGTGCCGACCCAACTACACCACCACGCGCATGCCTCGCGGCGGATATGCGCAGCAGCAAGAAGGTTTCGGTCATCCCTTGAGGGTGAGTCTAGCCCTGCTCGCCAGAAAGACCCCCCCCTTCACTACAACCCATGTCTAAGCAAAAGCTTGTCGAGGAGCGAGGGGAAGAAGGAAGAGTCTATAAGATACCATCTGGGCCAAGGGCACACAAGAAAAAGTCCGGACCCACAGATTATGTGGATAGATTCGGGTGGTTGTCAATTGCAATGATGGCTGTAGTTGGTGTTCGTCTTCATTGCATGTCTACGGACCCATTCTGACGGCACTTCAGACGACAGCACCTGCGTGCCCCGAGCTTGTTGCATGCCTACCATGCATGGTGTCATTGTACAGACAGCAATTCAGACCGCATACATTCATTTTGTTTGGTGAAGTGTGGGGCAAGAGGGGGTGATGCTGCTGCTATAATAATAGTCGAATGAATGCAGTGTGTGGGCGTGTAGTTCAGTTTTGGGCACGCAAACGTGCTGCAGGGATTGTAGGTGTACAACTGTACCTCTTCGGGCTTGTTGTGTGCCCTTTTCTTTGCTAATAGTGCTCCTCGACAAGCTTTTGCTTAGACATGGGTTGTAGTGAAGGGGGGGGTCTTTCTGGCGAGCAGGGCTAGACTCACCCTCAAGGGATGACCGAAACCTTCTTGCTGCTGCGCATATCCGCCGCGAGGCATGCGCGTGGTGGTGTAGTTGGGTCGGCACTGATGGGGTCAGGCGAAAAAATGTAGATGCGCGGGCC